GAAGAGTTTCCAGCTAAACCAGACAGTTAGAAGAAGAGAAGAGGATTGTATTTATACCCCGCCCTTCACTACCAGAAGGAGTCTCAGAGGGGCTTACAAACTCCTTCCCCTCCCCCTCCCCACAACATACACCCTGTGAGGCAGGCGGGGCTGAGAGAGCTCTTGACAGAAACTGCTCTTTTTCAAGAACAGCTCTTATCAGAACTACGGCTTGCCAAAGGTCATCCAGCCAGGTGCAAGTGGAGGAGTGGGGAATCAGACCCGGTTCTCCCAGATTGGAGTCTCGCGCACTTAACCACTACACCAAAGAGGGTGTCAGAGCGGCTTACAAACTCCTTTCCCTTCCCCTCCCCACAACAGACACCCTGTGAGGTAGATGGGGCTGAAAGAGCTCTTGACAGAAATGGCTCTTTTTCAAGGACAGCTCTTATCAGAACTATGGCTTGCCCAGGATCACCCAGCCAGGTACGAGTGGAGGAGTGGGGAATCAAACCCGGTTCTCCCAGATTGGAGTCCGCGCACTTAACCACGACAGCAAACTAGCTCTCTGCGGTTCCTCGGTGGAGGGGGCTTCCTCGGGAGGTGGTGGGCTCTCCTTCTTGGGAGGCTTTCAAGCGGAGGCTAGAGATGGGCCATCTGACAGCAATGCTGATTCCGTGAACTGAGGCGGATCCTGAGAAGGGAGGGCGGGAAGGGTTGCCTCGGGTGCTTAGTTCTCGTGGCCCTTTCTTACTCGCCCAGGGAAATGCCGATCGCCACTTTGGGGTCAGGAACAATGCTCCCTCGAAGCTGTGGAGCCTTGTGAGCAAAACTTCTACTTTGTGAGCTGCTGGCATTGAAGTGGTGAGTGAGCAATTTGGCAACTGCATAAATTAGTCTGCTCTGGAGCCCTCCTTCCTGAGCTAAGGCAAAAATGTGTGAGCCGGAGGCTAAAAAACTATGGGCTAGTAACTCAGCCTAGAGGGAACACTGGTCAGCAGGGGTCATTTTATAGAAAAAGAGGTGCAAGAGCTCATTAGCATAACTCATTAGCATAACTCATATGCCACACCCCCTGACATCACCGGACGTGTGTCAGAAGGCAACACCCACCGCTCAGGCTCCACTGGACTCTTTTGGATTGCTAGCTATTGGGGGGGGGGGATGTGCAGATCTGTCCTCACAGAGGAGGGAGAGCTTGTACCTGAATAAAACTTGGTCTTAAAGGTGCCACTGGACTGTTTGGGGCCGGGGTGGGGGGAGCTCTGCAACTTACCTGGCTGCTTCTTGCTCTGACTGAGGGCTGCTGGGAGCAGGGGGTGGGGCTTGTTGCATGTGCCCTCCCCCTGGGCTCTTTACTGCCGGAGCTCTGCTTCTGTGTGCTCCTGCAGGACATGACCCCTGCTGGTCAGGAAGCCCTTTTTCTCCCGGCCAGTTTGGCCGTGGATCCTGGAGGTTTTTTGTCATCTTCTGGGCATGGAGCAGGGCGTCACTGGGGGAGTGGGGGGGGGAAGGTATTTTTTGTGAATTCCCTGCCTTGTGCAGGGGGTTGGGACCAGATGACCCTGGAGGTCTCTTCCAACTCTTTGATTCTAAGTCCAGCTAGAGGAAGACAGGCCTTGAGTAAAAGCCAGGTACTCCCAAGAAAGAACCAGGAAAAGCTCTTCACCCCGGCAGCTTCCGCTTTCCACGGATTCAGCCTGCCCTATCTTTTCCATTCCTGGCAATGTGAAGGCCTACGGAAGTAGCAAAATTCAGAAAAGGCACACAGACACCCAGCTCCAAGAACTTGCCAATTTTTCTCACAGAAAATAGGAAAACTTGGGGGAGCACCAAAAATTTGTAGGATTTTTCTTTTAAAATGACTGGAATGCTTTTTTTAAAAAAAGACAAGGTTCTCCTCATTCAAAATACAGAGTATGGAAAAATTTGATGCGAAAGAACCAACAACATTAGGTAAAGCCCGTTCGTATTTATGCTACAGATCCTTTTTGTCGACGGGGGGGGGGGGGGGGGGGGCGAACACAAATCTTTCTCTACCCCATGCATAATTTTGTAAAGTTCTATCATGTCACCCATCAGTCGCCATTTCACCAAGCTAAAGAGCCCTAACCTCTTTAACCTTTCTTCACAGGGAAAGTGTTCCATCCCCTTAATCACTTTAGTTGCCCTTTTTTGCACCTTTCCCAAAACTATTATCCTTTTTGAGGTGTGGTGACCAGAACTATACACAATACTCCAAATGAGGCCGCCCCACAGATTTATACAGGGGCATTATGATACTGGCCGATATGTTTAGAGAAGAAGAAGAAGAGGAGACTGGATTTATACCCCACCCTTCACTACCCAAGGCAGTCTCAGAGCGGCCTCACAAACTCCTTCCCCTCCCCCTCCCCACAACAGACACCCTGTGAGGTCGGTGGGGCTGAGAGAGCTCTGACGGAAACTGCTCTTTTTTTCAAGAACAGCTCTGACAGAAATATGGCTTGCCCAAGGTCATCCAGCAGCTGCATGTGAAAGAGTGCTCTTGACAGATGATGGAGGTCCATCAGTGGCTATTAGCCACAAGGTATAGCTAGGGGCTCTGGGGCAAGTGATGCTCTGTCTTCTTGGTGCTTGGGGGGGGGTCAACAGTGGGAGGGCTTCTAATGTCCTGGCCCCACTGCTGGACCTCCTGATGGCACTGGTATTTCTGGCCACTGTGTGACACGGAGTGTTGGACTGGATGGGCCTTTGGCCTGATCCAACATTGGCGTCTCTTATGTTCTTATGTTCTTATGAGTGGGGAATCAAACCCGGTTCTCCCAGATTAGAGTCCACGCACTTAACCACGACACCAAACAGTTGCCTTCCCTTCCTCTCCCCAGAACAGGCACCTTGTGAGGCAGGTGGGGCTGAGAGAGTTCGACGAGAACCGCAACTGCCCCAAGGTCACCAAGCTGGCTTCATGTGGAGGAGGAGTGGGGAATCAAACCCGGTTCTCTAGATTAGAGTCTGCTGCTCTTAATCCCTGAGACCCAGTTTGGTGTTGTGGTTAAGAGTGCAGACTAATCTGGGAGAACCGGGTTTGATTCCCTACTCCTCCACATGCATCCGGCTGGGTGACCTTGGGTCAGTCACAAGTTCTCTCAGAGCTGTTTTCTCAAGGGCAGTCCTCCAAAGAGCTCTCTCAGCCCCACCTACCTCACAGGGTGTCTGTGGCGGGGAGGGGAAGGAGATTGTAAGCCGTTCTGAGACTCCTTTGGGGAGTGAAGGGTGGTGGTATAAATCCAATCTTCTTCTTAACCACAACACCATGCTGGCTCTCAGGGGCTGGATTCAGAGTGTGACAGAGCCCCTCTGCAAAACCTTGCAGGCTCCCAGGGTCTGGTTTTTCAAGATCCCCTACCTAGAACTGGGAAACCTTGTGCAGTGATGGGTTTATATCTGTACTGGCAAGCTGCTCCCGTGGACAGTGTGAAAGGCAGGGTGTGTTTTAGCAAAATTTAAGAGACAAGAAAGAGGGTCCCAGATCAAATCAAGCCTGAGCTTCCCCCTAGAAGCTAAAATGACCAAACTGAGGCTGTTGTACTTCGGTCACATTCTGGGAAGACAAGAGTCAGCGGAAAACACAATAATGAGGAATTTCAGACAGACAATATATTCCAGAAGAGGAACGGTTCCCAAACGGTTTCTGGTCTGTCATTTCAGACAGAACCGTTTTACAACCGGTTCCCTACCGGAATATATTTGTAATTTCAGACACAAATGCTTCTGTCCCGTTTAGGAAACGGGGCTGAAGCGTTTTACCTGTCAACCGCTTCCAAGTAGTCTTCAGGTTTCCTCTCCCGGTTCCCATGCGCTTTTCCCCTGCCGTTTTTCATCCGCGTGGACAATCTCCGGCTTTTTTTTTAAAACGTTTGCTTTATAGTGTTATAGCGCTATAATGGAACAGCATTATATCAACACCATTGGAATGCCTGGAGTGTTTTGTTATAGTGCTATAGCGTTATAAAGCGAACGTTCCAAAAAAAAAAAAAAGCCGGAGACCGCCCACACGGGCGAAAAATGGCAGGGGAAAAGCGGGGGAGGCTGAAATGGCAAACCGCTTCAGATCCAGCTCTTTACCGGAAGGGGAAAGCCATGTGTGAAATGGCAGCCCTATACCGGTTTACTCCACGACAGATCAAAAACGGCTGCAAAACGGGTTAAAAAGGGTAATGTGAAATTCCTCAACGATACGAAAGGAGGGAAACCCAGCACGAACGGGATCGACTCTGTCGAGGGAGCCGCAGCCCTCCGTTTGCAAGACCTGAGCAAGGCTGTCGATAATAGGACATTTTGTACAGCCAGGATAGTACGGGCAGCCAAACTGAAAGCCGAGGAAGGCCAAACAACGGAAACGGGAGAGATTAAAATGGCAGAACACGCAATCGTGGCCAAATTAACAAACTATACAAATAAACGACCGGTCAGAGGATTCGGGGGAAAAAATAAATGGGGAAATGACTAAGCTTATTATAAGATGAAAAAAAAAGGGGAAATTACTATGCTTAGTATAAGATTAAAAATGAGCAACTTGTATTAAAGTTGTTATAATACTTTTCTATTTTTTATTTTTCCATCGGTATAATGATCGCTTTGGCACCAATACAACCGCACTAATAGAATTAAGGTTGTTATGGATAATACTACAATGGTGTAAATATGTGTTCTCTGAAGCTGATGCAAGAATGCTATATTCAAGACCATAAACATAGATTTTGATGTATATACGAACCTAGCTTGTCGTCGTCCTTTTTACTTTTAGAAATGCTCTGAAAATGCACTTTTTGGTTATAGTTTGATTACGACAACCATAGCGGTACTAAGTTGTAATGGAACATAAAATGTAATCATCAAAGTCTAACCGTTAATATTAATAGTAAGTAATGGCAATAAATAAATAATGGTAATTAATAAATAAATTACTAAAGGTAATAATAAGGTTTCCCTTGCTGAAAGCCAGTTGAATCCGACTCTAGGGGTGCAGTGCTCATCTCAGTTTCCAAGCCGAAGAGCCAGCGCTGTCTGAAGACGTTTCTGTGGTCATGTGGCCGGCATGACTAAACACCAAGGCGCACGGAACGCTGTTACCTTTCCACCGAAGTGGTACCTATCTATCTACTTGCAATTTCTTGCTTTCAAACTGCTAGGTTTGGCAGGAGCTGGGGCCGGAGACGGGAGCTCACTCCATCACACGGCACTCGGGTCTCGAACTGCTGAACTACCGACCTTCCGGTCTGCAGTTCAGCTTCTTAACCACTGAGCCACCGCAGCCCCCTAAGGTAATAAATACTAGGCTTTAATAATAAATGTACACAGTATGCAAAAACCCTCCGAATACTATGTATTTTAAATGTTTTATGTTAAATGCTCTGTATTTACTCTGAAGGGGACAAAAGGACATTTTGGAGGTCATTAATTCACAGGGTTGCCATAACTTAAACGCCACGTGACACATGCAATACAGGCAGGCTCCCTTACCTTGGACTCGAGGTAGACGTTTGCCGAAGTCATTTTGGACAGCCGACACATGCAGTATGCCAGCAGAACAGCACAGAGAATGAAGAGGGTGTCGTTGACGAGGGCTCGGGTGAACACCGCCCATCTCAGCCGACCCTCTGGGGCATCCTCGTGGACCAGTAGCGCACACGTTAAGTTCACAAACATGAAGAAGAGGCTGGTGAACACAGAGCCCACGTACAAGGCAGTCCTGGCGACAAAGATGACGTGGTTAAGGAAGGAACTGCAGAGACACTCTGTTCCCGGTTAACAGTTTCGTCATTTTATCTTCTCCTTAATTTCTTCACTGAGACAAGCTTCAAGCTTGTATCCTGCCACTAAAAGGTCGCTTATCTCTCTCCTACACCCCACAAACCTGCAAGAGAACATAGGCAACAGAAAGGCTGTGGGTAGCAGAGGGACCCAGAGTCGGGAGGGGGGGATCTGGTAACACAAATCTAATTTATTTCTTTAATTTAATTTAAAACATTTATTCACCACCTTCCTTCCTTATGGATCTCAAGGCAGCTTACAATATTAATAAATACATAAAGTACATTAAAAAGTAAAGGTAAAGGTTCCCTTGCTCGAAAGCCAGTCGAATCCGACTCTAAGGTTGCGGTGCTCATCTCCGTTTCAAAGCCGAAGAGCCAGCGCTGTCCGAAGACATTTCCGTGGTCATGTGGCTGGCATGACTAAACACCAAGGCGCACGGAACTCTGTTACCTTCCCACCAAAGTGGTACCTATTTATCTACTTGCAATTTCTTGCTTTCGAACTGCTAGGTTGGCAGGATAAAGTACATAAAACTACATAAACGAAAAATTTAAAAACACAGTTTAGGACTGCTTTAATCAAATGCTCACTTCTTCAGACACTGAGTATCTGAAGAAGTGAGCAGTGACTCACAAAAGCTCCATCCCCTGCCACAAACCTGATTAGTCTTTAAGGCACCACTGGACTCTTGCATTTTTCTACTACTAAAGACTAGACCAAGTGTTCCTAGATCAAGTATTCGTAGCTATTTTCACTCCCAGCTAATTTCGTCACCAATCTCACACCTCTAGAACTCACTGCAATTCCATCTTCAGAACCTCAGGAGATATGAATTCTCTCATTTTTATTTTTCCAAGTTAGAAACTTAAGAAGAGCCCTGCTCTATCAGACCAGTGGCCTAACTAGTCCAGCATCCTGCCTCACACAGTGGCCAAGCAGTTCCTCTGGAGGACCAACAACAGGGCATAGAGGCCGAGGCCTTCATAAGAACATCAGAAGAGTCCTGCAGGATCAGACCAGGGGTTCATCTAGTCCAGCATCCTCTCTCACGCTGTGGCCAACCAGTTCCTCTGCAGGCCCAACAACAGGGCAGAGAGGCCAAGGCCTTCATAAGAGCATCAGAAGAGCTCTGCTGGATCAGACCAGGGGTCCATCTAGTCCAACATCCTGCCTCATGCAGTGGCCAACCAGTTCCTCTGGAGGGCCAACAGCAGGGCACAGAGGCCGAGGCCTTCAGAAGAGCATCAGAAGAGCCCTGCTGGATCAGACCAGTGAAGGTCCATCTAGTCCAGCATCCTGTCTCACACAGTGGCCATGGCCAACCAGTTCCTCTGGAGGGCCAATAAGAGGGCACAGAGGCCGAGGCCTTCAGAAGAGCATCAGAAGAGCTCTGCTGGATCAGACCAGGGGTCCATCTAGTCCAACATCCTGCCTCATGCAGTGGCCAACCAGTTCCTCTGGAGGGCCAATAAGAGGGCACAGAGGCCGAGGCCTTCAGAAGAGCATCAGAAGAGCTCTGCTGGATCAGACCAGGGGTCCATCTAGTCCAGCATCCTGTCTCACACAGTGGCCAACTCACACAGTGGCCTCTGGAGGGCCAATAAGAGGGCACAGAGGCCGAGGCCTTCCCCTGAGGTTGCCTCCTGGCAGGAGTACTTGGAGGTTGACTACACTGCTGGTGACTAATTTAATTCAGCCAGTCTTCCCTTACATATATTCCATTTTATCCTTTCCTTTTGTGTGGGTTTATATTATAAACCTGCTGTCTAGGTCAGTTATAAATGTTCCATGTTTTTATGGAAACAAACCAAGAGCAGCATTAATATTTTAAGCACAGAAACTCAAAAAGTACCTTTGAGGATCTTGAAGACACAGCTTCTCATTTCTCATCTCACTTCCTATTTACTTTTTTAAAATGTATGTATATTACTTCTTGTTTGAAAGGTTACCTTGAATCATCTCAAGCAACACCCCCTCAGACCAGAAAATCTCAGACGCTTCTTAGCACAGCAACAACCCTGAGACAAAATGGCTTCATTTACTTTATTTATATCCCTAACCTTGCTCCCCAATGGGGAGTTTGCATCGTCCTCTCCTTTTTGTCCTCACAATGACCCTGCGGGGTAGGCTGGGCTGAAAGTGCGTGACTGGTCCAAGACCACCTGGTGAGCTTCCATGGCAGAGCTGGGATTCAAATGCAGGTCTACCCAGATCCTAGTCTGATACTGCACCACACAGGTCACACCAAGTTAGCTAAACAAATTTCAGACTCATCGCTGCCAGTTCTAGATTCCAAAGATGTATCCACAGTGATTTCAGTAACACGGTTTGTCCTTTGGTTGCCTCTGCCTAAAGACTTTTTCCTTCACAAAACCACCCAATATGCTACTGGGTTAATGGGCCAGTGGTGGTGTACAGCACCACCTGATTGGAGCTGATCTATGGCAACCCCGTAGAGCAGGGATGTCAAACATGCGGCCCAGGCGCCGGATTAGGCCCCCAGAGGGCTTTTATCAGGCCCGCAGTGGAACTGGCTGGCTTCTGCTTCTTCTTCCAGTTCTGCTGCTGCTGCTGCGGCGTCATCGCAGGTTTGCGGCTTACAGATACACACCTGAACACCACACTCAAGATTGCAACAGCGCAGACATTTTGATGCAACAATTCAGAGCAAGAGGTGTCAGTGATCAGACACTGTTAAATAAACAAACTATTGCAAGAGTGCTCATGTTTTGAGCATGTTTTTATTTTAAGTAAAAAAAACCCCAACCTTTGTGTCCTTTATAAAGTTTACATCTCCGCTACCGGGCATTACATTTTATGACACACATGGCCCGGCCCAACAAGGTCTCATTTACGTCAGATCCAGCCCTCATAACAAATGAGTTCCACACTCCTGCCATAGGGCTTTCAAGGCCCCAGACATTCAGTGGTACTTAGCCATTATCTGCCTCTATGTAACAGCCCTGATCCTGCCAACCTAGCAGTTCGAACAGCGTTCCGTGCACCTTGGTGTTTAGTCATGCCGGCCACATGACCACGGAAACGTCTTCGGACAGCACTGGCTCTTCATCTTTGAAACGGAGATGAGCACCGCAACCCTAGAGTCGGACTCGACTGGCTTTTGAGCAAGGGAACCTTTACCTTTTTTAACAGCCCTGAACCTCCTCAGTGGTCTCCCGTTCAAATCCTAACCAGGACCAACCCTGCTTATCTTCTGAGATCTGATGAGGTCAGGCTACCCCTGGGCCCAAACCTGTCAGATAACCTTATAATGCACACAGGAAGGAAAAGCCATCCTTATGGTTCTTTAATCACGCTTTGTGCAGGGAAGAATAAGCTAGTGTCTAATCGCCACTCATTTACAGAGCTCCTCTGGCCACGGAAGGCAGGCAGCCTCTGCAGTCACAGGGCCTCGTGGAGCCCTGCAGATTTGGTTCGGGGCGGCTCTGTTTCAGGTCCCCCCCAACGTGGATACCACTTTCCATCTTGTGCCAAACCTTGGCTAATTATGCCAGTAAAGCTGTTAGCTGCCGCACTGGCTAACAAATGCTTTCCATCTGGTCCTGGCAACTACTCCAAGATGTCAGGGGTGGGGGTAATCTGACAAGCATTTCTTGAGAGCCAGTTTGGTGTAGTGGTTAAGTGCCGGACTCTAATCTGGGAGAACCGGGTTCGATTCCCTCCCCACCCCTCCACTTGCACCTGGCTGGATGACCTTGGGCAAGCCGTAGTTCTGATAAGAGCTGTTCATGACTAAGCCGTTTCTGTCAAGAGCTCTCTCAGCCCCACCTACCTCACAGGGTGTCTGTTGTGGGGAGGGGAAGGGAAAGGAGTTTGTAAGCCACTCTGAGACTCCTTTGGGTAGTGAAGGGAGGGGTATAAACCCAATCTCTTCTCTTCCTTAAACCTCGTACTTCATGCAAGGATTTGTCTACTGACTTCAAAAGTGGTCATGAAGAGACCGCACAAGCATATTGATCAAAACCATGAGATCCCTCCTGTGCTGGAACCAGGGGAGATGGGAGTGTCTATCAGTGGCTACTAGCCATGGTTACTACAGGGAACCTCCACATTCAGAGGCAGCCAAACTCTGAATCCCAGGGCCAGGAGGCAACATCAGGGGAAGGCCTCGGCCCCTGTGCCCTGCTGTTGGACTTCCAGAGGAAGTCTGTGTCCACAGTATGAGAAAGGATACGGGGCTAGATGGACCAATGGTCCCAACCAGCAGGGCTTTTCCTATGTTCTTATGAGGGGAAGGCCTTGGACTCTATGCCCTGTTGTTGGGCCTCCAGAGGAACTGGTTGGCCACTGTGTAAGACGGGATGCTGGACTAGATGGACCCTCACTGGTCTGATCCAGCAGGGCTCTTCTGAAGTTCTTATGAAGGCCTCGGCCTCTCTGCCCTGTTATTGGCCCTCCAGAGGAACTGGCTGGTCACTGTGTGAGGCAGGATGCTGGGCTAGATGGACCCCTAGTCTGATCCTGCAGGGCTCTCCTGGTGTTCTAATGAAGGCCTCGGCCTCTCTGCCCTGTTATTGGCCCTCCAGAGGAACTGGCTGGTCACTGTGTGAGGCAGGATGCTGGGCTAGATGGACCCCTAGTCTGATCCTGCAGGGCTCTCCTGGTGTTCTAATGAAGGCCTCGGCCTCTCTGCCCTGTTATTGGCCCTCCAGAGGAACTGGCTGGTCACTGTGTGAGGCAGGATGCTGGGCTAGATGGACCCCTAGTCTGATCCTGCAGGGCTCTCCTGGTGTTCTAATGAAGGCCTCGGCCTCTCTGCCCTGTTATTGGCCCTCCAGAGGAACTGGCTGGTCACTGTGTGAGGCAGGATGCTGGGCTAGATGGACCCCTAGTCTGATCCTGCAGGGCTCTCCTGGTGTTCTAATGAAGGCCTCGGCCTCTCTGCCCTGTTATTGGCCCTCCAGAGGAACTGGCTGGTCACTGTGTGAGGCAGGATGCTGGGCTAGATGGACCCCTAGTCTGATCCTGCAGGGCTCTTCTAACGCTTCCAATGTTCTGGAATTCATATAAAACCCAGAAAACCATCCCTATGGCAACCCTAGAATTGGTCAATAGTAGCCCAACCAATCAATTACAGGCAGCAGTTTAATCGGCAATGAAAACAGCTGATTCATTAAGCTTCAGCCATGGAAGCTATTCTTACTTGTATTTGTTGAATTCAGCTGCGCACTTGACTTTGACGATCACCTGTCAAGACAAATCAGAGAAATGTTTTATTGCATTTTAAAAAATCCCACCGTATTCCGGAAAGCACAGGACACAACACAAGAGATTGAATACCCAATAGAGAAACATTCATGTAGTATAGTGGCAGAACGTCACAGGGCATCAGCCACACAACAGAACAGTAGGTCATGTGGTGCCCATACCCTCTATGCAAGTATCCCAGCAGCCAATAATATTGCAACTCAATAAGAGCCTGTTGACCCAGCTGGTGAGGCGCCATGACCCATCTGAGGGCCCACCCCATAGGAGGAAGACGACCACACTACAAGATTCTGAAATGCAACTTAGATTTATGTAACACTGTGGTTAAGGCAACTACCCTTTGGGATCTACAAGTCCTTGATGAACTACCACCAGTGTCTCCCCATCTAATACCATTGCAGGAGGACACCCATAAAGTCAACAGTTGCCATTTGACGTCTGTGGCTGCAACCAAGCGTGTGTGGACATAAAGCAGAGAACTACACATACTCCCCCTCCTTCCCACTGCAACAACTTGCAGTGCTGAAGAGGCAAGCTGTTTTTCAGCTAAAAAAAGGGTTGCCTCTTCAGCATATATGGAATTCACTTCAAACAAACTGGCTCTTTGGCGTATTCTTCTACTCTTCTCACTGTGATCTCAGAACCTTTCTGCACATCCCCAGATCAGTTTGAAACACAGAAAACGAACGTTGTCCAGACTTCCGCTCACAAGTCCTTCCTTACAAATGGCCTAGTTCGCTGCCAAGGTTTCCCACAGGGAACAGTTCCAGAAGTTACTCCAGCAGAGGAGAAATGCTCTTATACCAAGAAGCACAGGGTTTCCTCCCACAACAGCTTTAGGCCTGGGCTGAGACACCCAACCTACGAAGTAAGCCTCCAATCTGAGAGGGAATCTGAACCCACAACCCGGCAATTACCAACCAGGGGTGAGATGCAGACTAAATTCTCCCACAACAGAATGGAGCTTTCCCGCCTTTGCATTATTTCCACAAAACACTACTTCTGAGGGATAATGAACATCGAACACGACATGAAATGTCTGCAGTGGGTTAGGGTGCATGAGTGGAAAATGCCAATTCAGTCTGGCTCCAACCTGAGGGTTCCATAAGTATCCCCAAGGACTTCTGCCACTGTGCAGTCTCTGACTTCAGGCATTTCACTTCCCACAGGTTACCATTATAATGAGTACAAACTCCGAAGTCCGCAATTGTTAAATTACCACCGGCTAGATCAGAGTTCACTAGCACCTTAGAGACTCAACAAGATTTCCGGGGTATAAGCTTCCAAGAATCAACGCTCGCCCCCAAAACCTTGCTGATCTCGAAGTTGAGTTGCCAGCTCCAGGTGAGGAAATCCCTAGAGATTTGGGGGTCCTGGCTTTCAAGAGTCAAAGCTCCCTTCAAAAACGTAGGTACTTATCTACATATTTGGTGGAGATGTACTCAACTACAACCCTATTGGAAAAAAATCCATAAAATCTTTCTAGAAATATTTAAAATAAATATCTCTTTAAACCCTGAAATATACTTACTAAACATGATTCCGGATAAAATAAAAAACCACAAACGTATAATAATATACATTTTAACAGCAGCAAGAATACTGGTAGCGAGACGGTGGAAGTCGAAAGCCATACCATCTATAAGAGAACTTAAACATAAGATCTTGGATATTGCAGAAATTGATAAATTGAGCTTAGTATTGAATAATAAACCAGAAAAATGTATTTTGGAAGAGATGGAAGATTATATATGACTGGCTAAAACATAAAAGAAGAATATGAAATGTGAGCAAAGTACTAGTATGAATTTATGTTTGAAGTAAAAAGAAAGACGTTTAGAGATGTATAAATGATCAACTCATTAACATATCTTTTGTATATAAAACTTATGGAATGTAAAGGTGAAAACATGGAAAATAAATTTATTAAAAAAAAAAAAAAGATTCAAAGCTCCCTTTAACAGAGACACCAAAAATCTTGATGGCTGCTAAGGTGCGGTTGAACTCAGACCAAGGTCTTCTGTTGCTGACCAAAATGGCTGCCCTCTGAAATGAACTACCAGGTTTTGCTTAAGTGAGGAAAACGTAAGAACGTAGGAGAGGCCGATGTTGGATCAGGCCAGTGGCCCACCCAGTCCAACACGCTGTGTCACACAGTGGCCGAAACCCAGGCGCCATCAGGAGGTCCAACAGCGGGGCCAGAACACCCCCCAAGCACCGAGGATACAGAGCATCAATGCCCCAGACAGAGTGCTCCCACTATATAGCCACTGATGGATGGACCTCTGCTCCGTCAATTTCTCCAGTCCCCTCTGGAAGCTGTCTATGCTTGTAGCCACCACCACTTCCTGCGGCAGGAAGGAGGTGTTGGGGTTCCACCAGTCCCCATGTTACGGGGGTCCTTCATCCCCTGACGCTGAAAACCGCAACTCTAGCTTACAGCGGCCAACATCTGATATGAGGAAGTTGCAGGACCTAAGAGAAGAGACCCTCCTCAGATAGGGGTCCAGAGCAAAAGCCAGACCTGGATTCCCCACTCCTCCACTTGCACCTGGCTGGCTGGCCTTGGGCAAGCCGTAGTTCTGATAAGAGCTGTTCTTGAAAAAGAGCAGTTTCTGTCAGAGCTCTCTCAGCCCCACCCACCTCACAGGGTGTCTGTGGTGGGGAGGGGAAGGGAAAGGAGTTTGTAAGCCGCTCTGAGACTGCTTGGGTAGTGAAGGGCCGGGTATAAATCCAATCTCCTCCTCCTCTTCTTCTAGCGGAACACTCTTCTGATTTAATCTCAACCCCTTGGTTCTGGTCCGACTTTCTGGGGCAACAGAAAGCAACTCCGCCCCATCCTCTGCACGACAGCCCTTCAAGTAATTGGAGATGGTTATCGTATCACCTCGCCGTCGTCTCCTCTCCAGGCACAATCTGACACAAACCTCTCGTATTCGCCAGCCCAAGCACAGAAAGACACAGCTGAATACAGAAAGATGGGATTGGAACTCGACCCCCATTGCTCAGGAAAGCAAACGGGGGCGAGGCCTTGCTTTTGGGTCTGTTGGCAACCGTTTTCTAGCTGCTACACAGGCCTGCAAACATGTCATGCTGACCCTACAGTTCTTTCGTGCACAAACAAGCCAGGGGGAAACCGATTCGTAGCTCAAATGCTATTTTACAACTGACTGTATGTCAAAAGCTCGTTGTTTTCCACCCTAGAAAGAGCGGGCCCTTGGCATGCTTCGCAATCAGCCTGGAATTTCACATTCAGCAGTTGCATACAAGGCCTCATTCTCAGGGAATTCCATATAATCAAACCTTTAGTTCTAAAATTTAACACCTAATTCTTCTAATATTTAATATTAAATATTCAAAATAAACATTAGAAATAAATAAACGCTTAAGAACATAAGAGAAGCCCATGTTGGATCAGGCCAGTGGCCCATCCAGTCCAACACTCTGTGTCACACAGTGGCCAAAAATACCAAGGGGCCATCAGGAGGTCCAGCAGTGGGGCCCGGACACCAGGAGCCCTCCCACTGTTGACCCCCCCCCCGAGTACCAAGAAGTCACAGAGCATCACTTGCCCCACACTGAGAGTTCCTATCTATACCTTGTGGCTCATAGCCACTGATGGATCTCTGCTCCATATCTATATATCTAAAAAACAAGTTGCCCCCGGCGTGCAGATATCTAAATTTGCACATCGGGGGCACTTGGGGGGCAGAGAGATTTTCCTGCACACTTGGAGCAGTCTCCAGGTGTGCAGAAAAATCTAAAAAGTTGAAAAAAGTATACAGGGGATACTTAAATCCTGGGAAAGAGAAGGCTTAGAGGGGACATGATTGCAGTCTTCGAGAATTTGAAGGGCTGTCATGTAGAAGATCTCCTGCCAACCTAGCAGTTCGAAAGCAAGAAATTGCAAGTAGATAAATAGGTACCACTTCAGTGGGAAGGTAACAGCGTTCCGTGCGCCTTGGGTTTAGTCATGCCGGCCACATGACCACGGAAACGTCTTCGGACAGCGCTGGCTCTTCGGCTTTGAAACTGAGATGAGCACCGCAATCCTAGAGTCGGACTCGACTGGCTTTCGAGCAAGGGAACCTTTACCTTTACATGTAGAAGATGGAGCAGATCTCTTCGGGATGTGCTTGATCTCCATCATGTCATCCCTTGAATTGATTTATACTCCGCGCCTTTCTCCCCAAAGCTATATAAATCAACGGTGAAACCTCATTTGGAATACTGTGTGCAGTTCTGGTCACCACACCTTAAAAAGGATATTATAGCTTTGGAAAAAGTGCAGAAAAGGGCAACTCAAATGATAAAAGGGTTGGAACACTTTCCCTATGAGGAAAGGTTAAAGCGCTTAGGGCTCTTTAGCTTGGAGAAAAGACGACTGAGGGGTGACATGATCGAGGTTTATAAGATTATGCATGGGAAAGAGCAGGTAAAGAAAGAGGTACTTTTCTCCCTTTCTCACAATACAAGAACCCGTGGGCACTCCATGAAATTGCTGAGCGGTCAGGTTAGAACGGATAAAAGGAAGTACTTATTCACCCAAAGAGTGATTAACACATGGAATTCACTGCCACAGGAAGTGGTGGGTGCTACAAGCATGGACGGCTTCAAAAGGGAATTAGATAAGCATATGGAGCAGAGGTCCATCAGTGGCTATTAGCCACAAGGTATAGCTAGGGGCTCTGGGGCAAGTGATGCTCTGTCTTCTTGGTGCTTGGGGGGGGGGTCAACAGTGGGAGGGCTTCTAATGTCCTGGCCCCACTGCTGGACCTCCTGATGGCCCCTGGTGTTTTTGGCCACTGTGTGACACAGAGTGTTGGACTAGATGGGCCTTTGGCCTGATCCAACATTGGCGTCTCTTATGTTCTTAACCAGGGAGGTTAGCCTGAGAGTGTGTGATTGGCCCAAGGTCACCCAGTAAGCCTTCATGGCATTAAGTGCAAATGCCAACTTGGGCCTCTCAGATACTAATT